ACATTTATACAACATTTATACAACATTTATACATTTATACAGCATTTATACATTTATACGACATTTATACAACATTTATACATTTATACAACATTTATACATTTATACAACATTTATACATTTATACATTTATACGACATTTATACAACATTTATACATTTATGCAACATTTATACAACATTTATGCATTTATACAGCATTTATACATTTATACAGCATTTATACATTTTGCAACATTTATACAACATTTATACAGCATTTATACATTTATACAACATTTAGACGAATTTATACATTTATGCAACATTTATACAACATTCATACAACATTTATACATTTACACAACATTTATACAACATTTATACGACATTTATACATTTATACAACATTTATACAACATTTAGATGATTTATACATTTATGTAACATTTATACAACATTTATACGATTTATACATTTATGCAACATTTCTGCAACATTTATACAACATTCAGACAAATTTATACATTTATACAACATTTATACAACATTTATGCAACATTTATACATTTAAACATTTATAAAACATTTATACAGCATTTATACAACATTTATGCAACATTTATACATTTAAACATTTATAAAACATTTATACAGCATTTATACAACATTTATGCAACATTTATACCATTTATACATTTATGCAACATTTATACAACATTTATACGATTTATACCTTTAAGCAACATTTATGCAACATTTATACAGCATTTATGCATTTGTACAACATTTGTACAGCATTTAGCTGCAGCTGAGGAGCAGCTCACCTGTCGGAGGTGAGCAGGTGGATTACTGGTCATGAAAGGTTCGGGTCAGTGTAGATGCTGCAGCTCTAACTCGACGCCGTGATGAGGTCGTTGTCTGTTCTCATCTCAACAGTTTCATGGTGTTTCTGTGGTTCTGACACAAACTGTGCAGTCAGCGTCTCTGTGGTGTTTCTGAAATGTGGAAAAATCCTTAAACTCTCATCACACAGCTGCATTACAGCTGCTTTAAGGTGGAGGTTCAGCTACGCCGTGTTCTGGAGAAGTTGGTCAGTCAGCTGGTGAGGTCAGCGCTGTGGGTTTTATCACACCTGACCAGGTGTTTGTTCAGAGTCCAGGTCTGGCAGCAGCTTTACCTTCTGCTGGCTTTCAGAGGTCTGTGCTTGACTTCACTCTGGTTCTGTGATCCATCGACAGCGGCCGACGCCGACAACAGGAAGGAGTACGTGGCCTTGAACCTCGTGACCTCTGACCAGCTGGGCGTCAACGGTAACCATGACAACCATGACAGGGCCCCCGTCGCCGAGGCCGAGTTGGAGTTCACCTCACCTGAGCCTGAAGAAGAGAAGCAGCAGCAGCAGGTGAAGCAGACGTTCATTCAGAGCTGATGAATGTGAAGCAGCTGATTGATGATTCTACGTTTCCTCAGAGTGAAAAAGTTCAAGATGAAGAAAAGCAGGAAGGAAACGCACCTGGAGACTGCTGCTGGGAGAGTATGACATCACACACACACACACACACACACACACACACACACACACACACACAGTCAGTCAGTGATCAATAATTATTGTTTCAGGTTGCTGCTGTCCATTCCAGGACGTAGACACGTCCCAGGGCTCAGGGAGGGTCTGGTCTAACTTCAGGAGAACCTGTCTGCTCATCGTCCAACACAAGCTGTTTGAAGGCTTCATCATCTTCATCATCCTGCTGAGCAGCGCCGCCCTGGTACACAACCACACACTATGACACACAACGCTGCTACACAACACTGCTAAACAACGACACATTATCAGATACTACACAATAACACACGGGACTAACAGAAGCTGATCAGGAAGAACAGCCAACAGCTTCAGTTGGAGGCGGACGTGTTGGTCAATGGGCTGAAGGCCAAACTGGTCGCTTGGAGTTTGGGTTTGGAACCTGTCTTTAGTGACTCCGGTGACTCCTGGAGCTGAAGCACCTCCTACTACATGTTAACACACATCTCCGTCGTCATGGAGCCACAGAAACGACGTGACACGAGGACTGCAGTCAGTTGTTCGGTGAATTTATCCACAATAGGATGTAAATGTTAGTTCAGGGGTGTCAAACTCTGGTCCTCGAGGGCCGCAATCCTGCATGTTGTAGATGTTTCCTTCTTCCAACACACCTGATTCAAATGATCAGGATCATTGTCAGGCTTCTGCAGAGCTTGATGATGAGCTGATCATTTGAATCAGGTGTGCTGGAAGAAGGAAACATCTACAACATGCAGGATTGCGGCCCTCGAGGACCAGGATTGGACACCCCTGTGTTAGTTCAATGATTTCTGTGACTCCAAACTAACAGAAACACATTTCAGCATCTGTAAGTGTCGATGAGTGTTTCTGTATTGAAGTACCATGAATATGTCAAACCCGTCCATAACGTCATTCTGAAAGTTAAATCTAGGACTTCAACAGATGGAAGATCAGAGTCACCTTCTGAGACCTTTCTGTTAAAAGCATTTTAATCCTCAGTCGGTATCGTGGGTTCTGCTACGTTCATCTGCTGCGTGTGAAGCTGGATGCTGATAAAAGCTGAAAACACTTTGAACCATCTCGGTGATGGACCAAGTGGATCCAGTTTTTACTGAACTGAGGGCCAAAAGATCCTCTTTAGAAACTTCTCAAAGGTTTTCATAAAAGAGAAGTCAGCACCAGTGGCCTGAACTCTATCATCCATCTTCTACCTGATCTGGGCAACAACTCAGCAGGCCTCCTTCTCCAGCTCTTCTGGGTGAGAACCAAGGTGTTCATAGGCCAGCCAGGGGAAAACTTCTCCAACAAATCCTGGTTCTGTCCTGGGTTTTTCTTCCTTCCTAGATGGATGGATGGATGATGGAGGATGGAGGATGGAGGATGGATGATGGATGGATGGATGGATGGAGGGATGGTAGAGATTTTTTCTCCTTCACTCCCCAGCAGAGTTTAAACACCAGTTCTTCCAGTAGTTGTGATGTTTTTGTAAGGTTCTGTTCTGTGCTGAGTTCCATCATGGTGCAGCCCTGAGGTCAGGTGTGTTTGTTCTACAGGTGTTTGAGGACATCCACCTGCAGAACCGTCCAGTCCTACAGATGGTTCTGGACGTAGCAGACTTGGTGTTCACTGTCCTGTTCCTGGTGGAGATGCTTCTCAAATGGATTGCCTTCGGATTCAAGAAATATTTCACCAACTTCTGGTGCTGGATCGACTTCCTCGTCTTAGATGTAAGAACTCAGTCAATACCATTGATTGCTGGGAAAAAATTGACTGGACAGGTGACAGCATATGTTAGTGCCACAGTCAGTCCTTGTAGTTCAGTTTTACTGCTGGACTAAATCAGCCCTCAGGGTGTGCTATTTGCCCGAAACCATGGCAACAGAACTGACGTCAGTACTAAAGGAGCAGTCTTATACTGGTGCCAGTTAAACTTACTGGTAAAGCTAACTTGGCCCAGACACACACGAGATCAGTTTGGCTAGATGTCAGCTGGAACATGTCTCAGTTTAGATAAATTAACCAACTGCTGAGGCTGGTTGACGGTAACCTGCTGCTCACCTGCAGAATGATGTCATTGTCAGGGGAATGTTACACCTGGGCGCTAACCTCAGCTCATATGAAAACACACCACTGGGTCGTCTGGAACTGAAGGATTGTCTATAACAGTGAGGATGAATGAACCTTATTCATCTCCCATAAAGAACATTACAATGGCAGCTTATATATATCACCACAGTGATAACTTCTCTTATCCTATTGGCTCGTTATAAGCAGGTTGTTGGTTTAAACCTTGTGCAAACCTTCTTTAGACAGAACCGCTTCCTGGCGAGGAGACTTAGGCTTCCTTAGAAGGACCTGTATTCTCGGTTACGTCCCATAAATTCAGAGTGAGACTCCAGAGATCTCTATACGTGACTGTAAGCTGCAGTCGACCTGTGACTGTGATCTTCACCAGGTGTGTCTGTCTTCCAGGTGTCTCTGCTGTCTCTGCTACTTGGCAGGATGGGATTCAACACTCACTGTCTGAGAGCTCTGAGGACACTGAGGGTCCCGTCTCGCTTCCAGGGGATGAAGGTGAGACAGACAGACAGACAGACAGACAGACAGACAGACAGACAGAGTCAGGACTAAACACGATGAGGCTGCTTCCAGTTTCATGCAGCTTGAACCTGGACCTGGATTTCAGAAGATGTGAGACGGGCCTCAACTCTGACAATGTTCACATGCAGGCTGCAAACAGTCCTGTTTAGTGCGTATGACCGCTGAAAGTATTTCATCTGTCCTCTTCTATTAATGATCATACTGATGTTCTTATGGGTTGATTTGATCTGCCTCTCGGCTTTGAATGTAATTTATTAATGATTGTATTGATGTTGTGTGGACTGACTTTATCGGTCTGAATTCACTTTGAATTGCCACCTGAATAAACCAGTAACAGGATGCTTCTGGTCTGGTGTTCTTGTTTAGAACCATGGTTCTCTCATGCTCCACATTCAGTCCAGTTTTCTTTGAATGTACTGACCAATCACAAGCTGTTCTGACAGAGATGACATCTGATTGGACAGACCCGTCCAACATAGAGGAAGAACTTGTGTCACTGTCTACATGTCTGTGTCTCTGCAGGTGGTGCTGAAGGTTCTGCTGGTGACCCTCCCAGCCATGATCAATGTGCTGCTGGTGGTGCTGACGGTCTGGCTGATCTTTGGGATTCTGGGCATTAATCTGCTTGCAGGGAAGTTTTATTACTGTTTCAACGAGACAGCAGAGGAGTTATTTCTTGTGGACGAGGTGAACAACAAAACCGAGTGTTTTCAGCTGATGATGACAGGCTGGACAGAGGTTCGCTGGAAGAGCACCAAGTTTACCTTCGACTCCGTAGCGGTCAGCTACGTGACGCTGCTGCTTCTGGTGAGTCAGAACACATGAAACACACTTCACTGTGGAAGTGCTGCAGGAAAATAACCATGGGATCTACATTGCTGGAACAGGTGAAAACCTGTGGTCACACAACAACACATTTGAACTCATTTGCTGTATTTCAGTGACGTGTACCTTACATTAACTAATGGACTCTGTTCTGTTGGTGCATGTCCTCTTAAATTCATCATCAATCTGATGAAAAGTTGGTTGTGAAATCCAATTCAGTCCTCCAGATTGACTGTAAAGTTTAAATTTCATCAGCGTATATTAAAAACTTAAACAGTGTTTTTCTAATGGACGTCTGTGTTGATTTTCTGTCAGGCAATGTCTGACGGCTGGCATGATCCCATGTATGCTGCTATGGACTCCAGAAAGGTCAGTACATCTACTGTTACTGCTGCTACTGTTACTGCTGTTACTACTGTTATTGCTACTGTTACTGTTGTTACTACTGCGACTGTTACTGCTGTTACTGTTACTGCTGTTACTACTACTACTGTTACT